TGTCTTACAGTTGACAATGCATTAAACTGCAGATTTCTGCAGTCATCCTAATGCGTAGACTTTGACATTATGGATCGCGAAGTCGGCAGTCGCTTCACATTGGTATAAACGAAGGAGTAAGCGGGATGCGCTTGGACGGACGTTCCGATTACTGTAGAATGGCAGTGGCGTTGAACCGCAGAGAACGTCGCCGGTGTACATGTCACCGTGAAACATTTATTAGCGAATGCGCCCGGCAAAGCGGTCTACCAGAACGTCTAGCATTCTCGTGCGCGACGAAGAACGGGGTTGATTAATGGCACCGTTTTGCCGGGGTATTTATAACGAACGGCTCGTTCACGTCCGTTCGACACGCCGAACCGCAAAGCCCAACTTAAATCGCTGTCGGAGTAAGTTAGCCGATAATCGCCTAAAAAACCATGTATGTGTATGTATGGAACGAGCGTTACTAGAAACGATGTGACGATTATAGGTATAACTGTGGAATGTCGACCTGATACATGCCACGGTCAGGCATTTAATTATGCGGAAGTCTAATATCGGGGAGTGTAACAACGTCGATCGCGCACGGAAAGAACTATTTTGCTGAATCCAGATCTGAAAATAATTTTTGTTCAATAATCAAAATAATTTTGTGCGATAGCCAAAATGATTGCTAGAATATCAAAATGTTTTATAGCAATGCTTATCAGTTTTAATATTCCAACAAATTATCTTGATAATTCAACAAAAAATTATTTTCAGATCTGTATCTAGCAAAATTTTTAGATTTTAACAAAATCGTTCTTTCGGTGCGCAAGTCTCTTTTTTACATCACATTGAAAATTAAAAATTCATAGATATATTATCTCGCGATGTTAGTGGACGCTTGAAAGCACGACGGCTATATGCTTCTTGCGCAAATATCACAGCATAATCCCTTGTATATAATCCCGTATCGAAACCACAAGCGCGATATGAATCGATTTCTTTGGAACGTGTATGGGCATCTAGGAAGATGTGCTACGCGTATACGCACGTATAAACGTGGTTGCACGTGCCATTTGAACACGAGATACTAGATAAAATGCCGCATTCCTCGGAGTTTGTTTTCGAGAATTGTCGACACTAGTCGACACGACAGACATAATAATAACAGCAAGCTATTCCTGGCGCGCGATATGCAAGATTCTTTGGTGATATTCATTGAAATATACATGCTCCGCTGAATTTTTATAAAATTTTGTGATATCTTCCTACGCGATAAAAAAGGTGAACAAATTGTATAAATGCATAACAGTATAAATGCACGCACATACAAAATTGAGAATACTATTAATAATTATATTAAAAACATGCATGTGCAAAAATCTATAAAATTAAAATCTTTTAAATTTATTTTCGTGCAGGTATCTTTTTATTTCATCTAATTTTCATATTCTTATTCTAGTTTTTTATTTTCTATTTAATATTAATAGACCAACATTTGTTAATAAATAAGCTTACATATATGTTTTAACATATAAAAATTTTCTGTTTAGAAGTAATCGAACATGTTTGTTTCTTTTTGAAAAAAGGAATGCAGCACGATAAAGAATAAAATAAAGTGAAATATCTGCGCCGAAAAAATTTTACGGTTACAGAGCAAGTTTGAAAACGTTTCACGAATTCTAGTTTCAAAGTATGCAACGTGCGCATCGTACACATGAGCCGCATACAAGCCACATTCGATTCGGGTATCATGACCACAACTATGTGATGGAAGCAGCATGTTGCTGGAAACTCGGGGTCGCAAGTTTGCTCGTAAAATGTCGGATACGTAATACGATATGGTCCATAGACAATTTGTGGTGTTGGAGTATGGACAGATATCGCCTTTAGCCGTGTTTCTAGTATTGAAAGCTAATTGTAATTCCGATAGTGTCTTTAATCAATAGTCATTTACTTATAATTAATCGTATTCAACTTTCCTGCTATCTTGACTGCTATCTATTTTAAATTGAATAAGCATTAACTAACAAAGTTACTCTAAAATAATTGAATTATTCTAAAGTATCCAAATGAAATAAGTAGTAAATATTTGTTAAAAAGTTTTAAAATAAAACAAATAAATAGAATATTTCTTTAGAAAAAGAAAAGCTTTATTTACTTATAATTAATTGTACTCAACTTTCCCTTGACTGCTATCTATCTTAAATTGAGTAAGTATTAACTAACAAAGTTACTCTAAAATAACTGAATTACTCTAAAGTCCAAATGAAATAGGTAGTAAATATTTATTAAAAAGTTTTAAAATAAAATAAATAAATAGAATATTTCTCTAGAAAAAGAAAAGCTTTTATAAAATTATTAAATAATATCTATAAAATGACTAATTCAAGGTTTTACAGTTATGGTAGCTTCATTGTATAAATTTTCATTTTGTTAAATTTAATCGGTATCTTATCATATCGATTTACGACTGAGATGTGTAATTATTACAAATATATTAATTAATCTTTATATATGTATCGTGGAGATATTAAAATCGGTTGTGTTGAATAATTATCAGGGGTCATTAACATTTTGGTTCAGACTAGATGATTAAATTTTAGACGTCTTATCTTTGCAATGATATCTATGCAAAAATGAAAGATTACTATTTATTAGTCTTATTTTCGTTAATTAAATCTTTTAATTAAAGACTTTGTCGCTCTTATTTAATATTATCAACAGATGATGATTTTTAGATTAAAAAGTCTTTTTAATATTGATAATTGCAATCAATATTCGTTTTCAGATTTTTTTATGAGTAAAATTTTTAGTTTGTTATTTATTCGCAAATGACTTGTAAATAAATTTTTAATTATATAGAAAATATACAACGCACAATAAATATCATTAATAAATATCATATATAATCACATATTTTTTATTATTTATTGCATGTATAAAGATAATAAAAATTGTGCACGTAGAAAAATTCTTCTTTAGATACATGATTGATTAATATATTTATAAAATGAAACAATATTTAAAAGGATTGTAGAAATGGGAATTATTTAGTTTTTCATTAGCTAATGGATATGTTGCATACTTTTTATGTAAATTTAATATTTACAATGTAAACATTGATTCTAACAAAAAGTATAATCAGATCTCTTAATATTTACAGTTAACTGATAAATATTTGCTTTGTCCTGACGAAGTTTTTATAATTTGAAGCAATGCATTCAGACTTATCGAGACAATATGACGTTGTATAACTTCGCGCGAAAATGAATTCTCTTCATAAATCTTTGGAAATGTTAGTATGAAAATGTTACGGTCGGCTTCATGAAACCGGATGTCATCATATCATTTGTGACCTACTTTCTCTTCTACGTCGTGATCAAAACAACCGTCATCCCGTATTTCTCTCCAGAGGAACTCCTTTATTCCAATTTGTGAAGCGCATTTGTGAAGGATACGATCGCGGCTTTTTAACAGAAAGAGACTATGGATGCATTTTGAATCTTTCTCTAATCATAAATTATAGCCTAATACATTTTTCAATTACATTTTTCATTTACGTTTGTCGTCTATCTATGCATGATTTAAATAGATAATAGGTACTTGATCACACATAAAACTACAGAAAGCGAAAGAGAGTCTTATTATTATTAATAATACAACCAATTCTATCATATTTTTAATTATTACAGAACATTACCGACAAATGATTAAATATAATTAAGGTTTAATTATTAAAATTATTATTAAAGGATATAAAATAATTTTTTTATGCTGATTTAATTTTTTCTCTGAAAAAGAAAAAGGAAAGAAACATTGTGTCCTCTGCAACAAATAAGAAATTCGGATTAATTCGAAACAAGCAGTGCACAATTATTATGTCCAATGTCGAACCGAATCGATCGTAGTCGAGACGCCGCGTCGTGCCGGTTCAACGATCTCACGAACCGTTCTGCAAATTCTTTCCCTTCGCTCTCCTCATCCTCGTGCGCGTTCGCCCTCCTTTTATTTCGCACGCGGATCAAGATAAATCGCTTCGATAGCGATTACGAGGGTACCCGGGGTCGACATGGTCATAGAGCACGTCTGATGCAAGTCGAGTGAGCTCCGTTGAGCTTGTGGGTACAACGAACGCTTCGCGGTTCCTTCGGTGTCCCTTGGAGCCATTCGGATACGTTGAGTGGGATGCGGAGGATGCCGTCGTTCCTGGATTCGATGTGCCGCCGATCGTTTGTACTCTTACACGCTCAGGAATTTTTGTAATCTCCGGCGAATCTTTATCGTTTCGGAAACGCGGATCGAAAGCACCACCCGGAGCGTGACCGCGAAGCCCTTGGAGATACCGTGAGATTCTTGTGCCTTGTACCTTTGAAATTCCAATGGAATGCTTTCATACGAACGTCGTCGACGCTAACAGGAACCTCTTTAAAATTGCTCCCGATTCGTGAATTAAATCAGATTTATTAAATGTTATATGAATGGGAAAGGATGGATAAAAGTTGGAGAGCGTAGCTTATTTAAAACTTGCAAAATTCCTTTCTTTGCAATTTCTGGAATGTGCTTTAAAAGCGAGTATACTCATTCTCCGGAATCTTTTTAATTATGAAGCGATTAAACATGCGAGTAAGTAAAATGCAGCGAACGTAGTGAGAATGAAACGAAACTCGTGAATTTTAAGATACTTGAACGATATTTATTATTAAAATTAGCTGCAAGGAATTTCTTGAATTCGCATGAATACAATTACAATTGCAATAAGCGTATATTTTTTAAAGCAAACATATATGCTTTTATTGTAAAATGATTAGGTTCAAAAATCACAATTTAACATATTTAAAAAGAAAAAGTTGCTATATATATATTTAGCAATATCGCATAAAAATATTTCTAATGGTTTAATTTTTCTAAATTTTTTTAGCCCTATAATATATTATTCTTTGAAAGACAGTTAAATTATTTTTTAAACATTATAAATTACAATATTTTTAATAATTTCTAGACTCAAAAATTATCTTTATTTTATAAATATATACAATTTAATTTCTCTTTTGTAATCTGAAAAATTTTAATGGAAAACTATCAACGTATTTGCGGTATGAACAACTTTTATCAGAAAATATAAATGTACGTTATTAGAATATATAGATTTTTAACTGTGCACACATACATTCTGAATTTCGGTAAATTTAACCCAGCTATCTTTCAAATATAATATTTTTACCGAAACATAAAAAATATTGTTTTACTTGAGACTGCAACAAAAAAAATATATTATTTTTTGTTATATTATAATTATATATTTTCTTTCTTATTATCTCTCATTTAATAGTAATTTTTTAAAAGACGTACCTCGTATTTTCATCTTGAAACTTCTCTTATTCAACATAAAGCTTCTTGAGATGTTCTGTGACTCGATGAGTTCCTTAAGATCCTCGTCGACCTGGGACTTCGAACTCGTCTAATTAGTCATTGTAGCTTTTCGTTGTACTTCCATGTAATCGACCACTCCCACTACAACTCTTGTGAGAATTCTTGACAACCCTTTCCATTTCTGCAAGATATTTCAGTAAAGCATATCTTATAAGAGTTAAAAAAAACAAATAACAATTATTAAATTTAAAATATTATTTCGTCACATTTATATTTACAAAAATATTTTTAAACCTGATAATATACAAAGTTTTGTTATTGTTCAATTAATAATTAATGAATTATTTCTTAATTTCCGTTAATTGTTTCCGTGAAACTTTTGCGAATTTCTTAGTATATGTTTTAAAACAAGCAGTAAAAAATAATTTTTTGTTTGTTCATAGTTTCTTTCTCTTATAATCTTATAATCTTTATTTCTTATAATATCTTTATAATCATTTTCTCGCATTATTATACTACGTACAAACATTATTATCATATGAATCTGTTCGGAGTTATAGCTTTCTTAGAAAGTTAAAAAGTGTCGATAGTCTTTCGATAAGTCGCAGTGATCATAAATAAAATAAAAAAGAACTGTGAAAGCCGAGAAACGAAGGGACATGCGAGCACGAATTTATGAGTCGTCGGCGCTTGTAACGTTATTTATGCCACGACACCCAGCATGGAGGAACGTCAACTTGTCTATTACGCTTGTCATACTTTGACATTTGACAATACTGAAATACATTTTCTATCTTTCTATTCTTGTTTCGAAGAATGCCAATGAAGAATGACACCCCACTTTTGTATAGGAATAACTACGCTTTCAATATTTTTTTCCCCACGGAAAAAAGTATTAAAAGCTTTTTAATGTGCTAATTTCTATTATCAAACATAAACGCGGTTACGAAAATAAAGGTACAAAAGTCAAATTTTTTCCAACGGAAAAATTTGATTAATTAAATGATTCATGAATATTAACACATTAGTTCTGTGCATTTAGTAAACTGCAGAGTTTAACAGATTGATTAAAATTTTCATGGCGATATTAACAGATATTTAATGATTATTATTATATTATTACGTGTCGAGTCGAGAGGAAGATTGTTACAAACGTGCGTATAATCTACTTTGTCAGCGGATAATACTTTAAAAATGGCGAGCACGGTTGAAAGTCAAGTGTACGAAAACGCTAGCGGAAATTGCGGCTGGAAACAGCTCGTGTATTTCATATTGCGGATCTCATGATTAAGTGTCGTCGGGACTATTTTAATAACGATGCAACAGTGGCCCATGCGAAAGCGAGATTTTGTACCTCTTCGAAACGTAAATCTGCAAATGGACTTATTTTGGCTGAGATTACTTGCAAATTACAAGAATTTATTCGATATACCAATAAATATTACTACCAATTAATATTATTTACAATATTAGTATTTATTCTCGATATAACATTAAGTCTGATCTAATCCTACTTTAAATAATTGATTAACTCTCTTTAACTGTTGGTAATGTATTAAGTGATTCGCCAACGCATGCGAATAAATTGTATAAATTCATAGAAAATGATAAATTTTTTAAATATTAAATTTAAAAACATTAAAATGAATATAGATCTTATATACGTATATGTATACATATATAAGAAAACATTCATAAAAAAGGATAAAGGCCAAAATTCGATTATTTTATCCATCCTTTACCTTTTTTATTTTGAAAAGATAAATGATCTATATTATTTGATTATAAATTTGAAATACATGTATTATAAAAATTTTAATTGTACATGACTCTTTCAATTGTTTATTATCTTAATTTGCGAGCTATTGGGTTCAATGAATTTACACTGGCATCTTAGTTTCATTGCTCAAGAATCGCATTCTTCGATTTCTATTATCCAGAGGTGTAAAGCTTCATATCTTGGCGATCGTCCAATTGCAGTTGCCAACTAGATACACCTATCTCCTAATCGATTCAATTGTGCAAGTTATAATTGATAAAAACTAAATGATTTTTTTCTTACTAATTGTAAGAAGATTCAATCTATTTAAACTATAAAATCGATATTATGATTATAATTGCACCTCTCTTTGTTTTGTTAACTTCGAATAATCATACTTTTGTATGTATAAACATATTAGTAAACATATTTTGATTTGTATTTTGATCGTAGATTTAACCACAATATTTTCCGTTTAATTTTTAATTTTGTATAAACGTATAAATATATAAAATAATAATAATATAATAATTTAGTAATTTACTTATTTAATTAATTGTTTTCTAGTAATACATCAACGACAATAATTTTAATACTTCTAGTAGAGACGTAAGATATTCCTTTTTATGAAATTTATAGGTATATCGTGGTACGAGTAAATGTCTTTTTTATAACCTTTTTATAAAACTTGCATAATTATATGACAACCAAGAAATAATCTCTGACTCCGTCAGTTAAATAGATGATATTTTAATTTATAAATTTAAAAATAACTTCAAACATAAATTTAATAGACAATAACAAAGTAGACAGTAACATGTGTAAACTGTCAAATCTTTTTTTATTACATGAAACGTGAAAGTTGAATGAGGGTTTCATGTCTCTGGTACGCGATCTCGGGCCAACAGGTTGGATAGTCTCTTGCAGTCGTGTAATGTGAGGAATGGAAGCAGGCGAACGACCTGTGCCAAATTTAAATTCGTCGCGTGCGTTCGCGATATTCGCTCTCTGATCGTTTTTAGTCCTTTATGAGCTTCCTCGTGAGCCCAAACAATGACTAATTGAATAGTCGTGTTTAATATAAGCTCACTAAGAATAAATTTATTTGGTAGAAATTTTATTAAACATTTTTCTATAATATCTCTCTATTTTGACTCTCTATTGTGTCGAACAAATTCATTAAGTTTTTGTTTGCAAAAATATCAAACGAGAAATTCTCTTTCGAATATATAAATTATTATCACACAACAGGTTGGAAGATTCGATTGTACAATCATAAATGATGCATTAAATTCAAAATTTATTGTACGCTCTTCTAAAGGCGGTGCTTCTTCTCGTTCAACATTTATATCAGCATTGTTTCGCTCCGCTCTCAAAGATTGATCGAGAAAGTATTATTGGACTCTCGATGACTGCGCTTTAGTTGAGTCTGAAACTATTTGCAGTGTACAGTCGAGTGAAACCTATTGCAATCTGTGAGACGTAATCTCCACACTTATATCTTCTAATTTATAAAAATATTTCTTAATATCTGAATTTTAACGTTTTTAAGAATATTGTAAAATAATAACGAACGTTGGTAATTGTGTATGTGTGTTTTAATTATACACAGTAACATAATAATCTAAAAATATTTTTTCTTACACATTTTGAAGACGAAGATAATTAATCTGGTCTTGTGTGCCTCACATTTTAATTTGATGGCTTTTGATTCGACAAAGTGACCGTTTTAACTGCTACTCACAGTTACAATGATTGAAATCTGACTGGAATAACGACCGTCCCTTGGCATAACGGACTTTTTCAGGCAGGCAATTTTATCACACACGTATCTCAGAGTCCGAGTTTTTATCCCATCCGCTACGGGAACGCGAAATTAAATTTGGTTCTCGACTTGTGTTCCACTGCTTTCCCCCAATGTCATTCGCACGACTCCCCCATCGCATTCTAATTGAATAATGTATGTCGAACGGTTCGCTTTACTTGTGTGACGCTCCACTGATCTCGAATGCACAGCACTGTGAAACAAGATGTACTGCTTTATGTCATACATTTAGTAATCGCAAAAACGAATATTTATGCTGCCGCATGCTACCGTACGGGAATTAAATCCCGGAATACAATTATTCCATCGAATGTTTACTGTACATTCACTTATTAACATATTTCCCAATTAAACCAAATCTAATAAACGTAAGTTTGCTCAACATTAATCAAATCGAATTAGACTTGTATACACAGTGCTGTTTTTCAGTCTCTCTCGTTGCCGTTAAAATTAAATGTAATTCCGCGGTGTGTCAGTCAAAGCGATTTATGCGAATTCGGAGACTTAATGACTTTAGGCGCCTCGGTCAACGAGAAGATTATCGTTTAATGGAACGACCGGCGCTGCCGCGCAGCGGTTGCATTCTGCTCGACTCAAGATGAATTCGTATCCGACAGAAACCGTACGTAAGACATAGAAGCCAACTAAGGCAGCTTGCCTCGCACGTCGCATTGTATCAACTAACTTTACGAGCCAACGACCCCGCGTCGGCGAGACACCTTGTTAATCATCTATCGTATCTTTGTGTTAGGTCGTGATGAAATTTCCAAGCTCCACGACCGTTAGCATCGGAAAGTTTCTTTCGCAAGTTCCATCTCCTTCTCCTCAATTCGATATCCGATATTAGTATATCTAATTTCCATGCAGTAACAAGGCTTTAATTTATCCTCGGAACGAAACGTTTACATTAACGTATAATACAATCTTGATATTTATGTCACTAGAATATGGACGTACATTTTTACTAATATTATTTGGCATTTATGAAAGTGCAACGTTGGTATTTTACATTATCTTCGCATAGAAATCTCGGTGGCGTGCGGTAATAATTAATCGAAGCTTGATTACCGATAATATTCGATTCACGCCGTTATCATGTGTGATTATTTCGTTAAAAATTCGATACTCGTGCGCGGTGGAAATTATAAGCTAATTAACGACGTGTACACGGTTGTTTGCGTAATTTCGATACCAGTTTAATATTGTGCAATGTAATAACCACATAAACTGTCACTAACGATATTAACGCCAATCAGTACAATGGCATTTAACAAAATCGCTACAGTGCCGATAATGAGATATCAATATAACGTTATACATTGCTATGAAGTAGGTATGTGCATGCTCCCGGCAACATCCGGTATCCCGAATATGTCGAATTATTTTTAGACGCGAGTGAAATAATGTGGAGCCTCTGCTGTATAATACATAAATCACCGTGGCTGGAAACGTGGCAGATATATGTCTCGTGGCGCTACTCGATGTAGGTACGAAGTAGGGGAAGTCCTTGACTTAATCGCGCGACGTAAGTTAGTGGCCACGGATGTTGGTGACTTCGGTACCACGAACAGTGACAAAGCTTGGATCCTTGATACCT